GGTATTCTTCATTTCTTGAAAAACTTAGCTCAAGGGCAACTTTTGTTTGTTTGTTTGTTTGTTTGTTTTTAGGTTATTGTGGTTAAGTGACTTGCCCAGGGGATCACACAGCTAGTGTCAGGTGTTTGGTCTGAGGCTGGATTTGAACTCAGGCCCTGGTGACTTCCGGGCCAGTGCTCTATACACTGTACCACCAAACTGCCCCTAAGGGCAACCTTTTATATAAAGCTTTTTGTGATTCCCCTCAGCTACCAATGTCCAATCTCTCCGATATATGTTGCATGTGTTTTCCATTTGATCTGTATGTATATGCTTAAACATGTACATGTTGACTCTCCCATTAGAATATAAGTTCTTTGATGGCAATGACTGTATCACTTGGTTCCTGCTGTTCAGCACAGAACCTGGGACACAACAGACACTTAATAAATCCTTGTTGATTGATGGATAGATTTCTTCATGCCATTTCTACTTACACAGAACACCAGGGAGTTCAGACATGGTGGCTTCATTGTCATTTATAAAGAAACTAATTTGTTATAGAAATCCTGACAGATATTAATCTAGTTTTAAACTATTTGTTGTTTTTCCAGTTTTAGCCTTAAATATTTATTGTTGGTATAATCTGACTTAATTGGTTTTCTCACCAGGATTACTGTGACTTATTTTTTCCTTCACTACTTTTCACTGTTTCATTATGTGATGTTGCTCACAATATTCCATTAACCTTGCCTATAAGATTGTAAAATAGAATCTGTATTTTAAACTAGTGTTGTCCTTGGATGCCATAACTTTTTACTTGGAAAAGAGATCAAATATTACTGGGTGAAGCAGTTTCTAGGCTCTTTTGACTTCCTCATTGCAGTGATCAATTTACATCAATTAAACTTTGTTAGGAAATTGTGATAGTCTGTTCCTTTATCCATTTCCTATTTTACAGTGCCAAGAGCTTGTTTAAATAGATTAGGTTGGAGCTGTTTTGATTGCATCCTCTATCTTTTCACTTTTAGTCTTCGAATTTGATGTTTATTTTTTATCTTTGCTCTAAGAAGTTGATTATATGTGAAGAGTTGATATGAAAATGACTCTTCCATCAGTAACTAGTCATTTCCTGTCAATTAAGAAAGTCATTTTCATTTTTTTATGATGTTATTTGGTGACCTTATCCAGAACTTCCCACTTCTTTCCTTGAGGAAACTATGCTTTGAATGAAAAATATTTTATTAAATTCTTACTGTATGTCAGTCGCTATGCTAATGATATACTTCTATGAAGGTTCTGTGTAACCCAAAAGACCCTTGTCCTCTTTAATTTCTTAATTCTGACCCATATCTCCCAGCGTATTTTTTGCTGTGCTCCTGTTTCCTCCTATTCATTGAAGTCATTGAGAAAGTATATGTTATTTAAAGTGTCTTTATCATGTTCTCCGTAGAATTTTTCTACTTCACCATACTCTGTAGTTATTTAAACTATAGTTAACTTCACAGTAGTGTTTTTATGAATGCTTATAATGAACATTGCAATATAAGATGACCACACAGCTCAAGAAATGATACATCTACACAATAAGATCAACTCTACCAACTCCTTTATTTGCCTCTCCACAGAGAACCTGTGAACCATTCTTCAATTTATCCGTACCTTCCTCTTACCTTCTTGTTTCATTTATAAAGAGGATGTCAACAATGATATGATTTACTTCCTCCAGTAATATTTCCAACTACTGGTCAGTTGACAAGGGTTACATAGTTAGATTAGCATTTAGGTAGCCAAAGAGCCACGAAGACTTGTATTTGAATTCTTCCTCAGATGCTTAATAGCTGTGTGACCTTGGGCAATTTAAAAATATCTCTGTCTGTTTCCTCATCATCTATAAACTGGGGATAAGAGCACCTGCATCATTGGATTGTTAGAGGAGCAAATGAGTTAAGATATGTAAAGCATCCTGCAAATCCTAACATATATAATACATACAGATATGTATATGCTAGCTATTAGCTTTACTGATATTTATTGATGCTCTAAAGAATTTAATACTTAGCACCCTCCATTCCTTTTCTGCCTTATATTACCATCATTTCAGAAATTGAAGCAACTTTTTTACCTGTGTTTGTTTCATGGATTATAATGACCAAGAAATCCATCATGTAATGGCTATGCTATGGGTGATGAACCTCTTAGTATTTAGGTGGGTTAGTCCTAAGAAAGCAGATACAGTCTGATACTAGCATGCTTTAGGATAATAATAGTAATAATATCATTTATATTAGTTTGTCCTTGCAGATCCATGAATAGAATAATAGGTATCAAAGTGGAGTGTCATTTGAATGTTGGTAGCAAGGCATAGTGGAAAGAGCACTGAACTTAGAGGCAGGAGAACTGAGTTTAATCCTGTGTGAGACACTTGTTGTATGATGCTCAGCAAAGCAGTTAACCTCTCTATGCCTCTGTTTTCTCATCTGCAAAATGGGGATAAAAATAGCACCTGCCTTACAGGGTTGTGGTGAGGGTTAAATGAGTTAACAAATGGAAAGTGCTTTGCAAACCTTGAAATGCTACAGAAATGCTAGTTACAACTTCTCACTGAGTTGTGTGACTCTTGGTCATTTATTTCTCTGAACCGTGGTCTCCTAATATGTAAAATAAAGGTGGTAATACTTACACCGACAACCTCACAGAGCTGTGGTGTGGAAAGTGCTTTGTAAACCTTAAAGCACTGTAGAAATATGTGCTGTTTTTGTTATTGTAACATTGGAAAAAGTCATGAGTTGGAAGAGAGAAATAGACCAAGCCACAACTTTGTAGCTTGATTCCTCTGTGTACAAAGATCTATCTCCTCCTCTATGTTACAGCAGAACAGTTATTTTTCAAGGAGGCTGGCAGGGGGTGGGAGGGAGTGGCAAGCAGAGAGGACAGCTTCAGGCGTTGTAGCACAATTGCGAGATGCTAAGAAATCAACCTGCTGCTTAAGCAGGCTGAACTAGAGAATCTGGCAAGGTCCCTTCTGCCTTTAAGTGCAGAGAACTCAAGTTATGGTTAACAAAACTGCGATCAAGAAAGTTTGATGATTTATCCAAGATCATGCTGCAAATTAGTGGAACAGTTAAGAACCAGAACTCAGTTTATCTCACTCATAGTACATTGCTCCTCCCGCTGGAGCCCAGTCTATGATCTCAGTGTAAATAGAGAGAATGCGAAAATATCACATTGAGAGTTCTGGGCCTTGAGTCAGGAAGACTTGAGTTCAAATCCAGCCCCAGATATTTATTGGCTCTGTGATCTTGGGCAAATTACTTAACCACTGTTCGCTTCATCACACAGCTAAGAAGTGTCTGAGGCTGGATTTGAACTCAGGTATTCTTGATTCCAGACTTGGCACTCTATTTATCACATCACCTACCAATGGTTGCCTAGTGGAATTTAAAACTCCATTCAGAGTCTAGTAGTAAGATATGGAAAAGTTTTAAAGAGCAGATATGATATGGTTAAATCTAACAAAGGAAAGTGATGTTAGAAGTAGGGAGATCAAAGAACAGAAGGTGAAAATAATATGGAATTAGGATTTAGCCAGCTGTAAATTGGGGATAATAATAGCACCTACTTCACAGAGTTGTTGTAAGGATTTGATGAGATCATATTTGTAAAAAAAAAAATGCTTAGCAGAGAGCCAGGCAGTAGTAGATGAGCACCATATAAATGCCTATTCCCTTTCCACTCTCTGAATAGACATTACATTGGTATACACATTATACTGTATTTCAGAGCTAGTATACATGGGGAGTATATACATGCATAACCAGGCAGAGGATTGTGGAGTACAGCCAGGTGAGGGGGTGGAAGAAAGGGAAGTAGGAAGTTCCTTGAAGAACATTTCATTCAGTGTTCCTGGAACAGCTGTATGAGCAAGGGTGCTCTAAGCCTTACTTGAAAGAACTGAAGATGAGATCATGGATTCATAGATCTGGAAAGATCATTAGTAAACATTTAACCCAACCCCTGCACTTAAAGGTGAAGAATCCAAAGCCCAGAACGCTTAAGTGACCTGCCCAGAGTCACACAGAACCAGTTCTTAGAGCTTGGAATTAAATCCAAGTCTCCTGAATCCTGATCTGATGTGTTACATCAGGACAGACAACCAACCAAATAAATGGGCAGCAGAGACTAAGCAATGGTAAATAAGGAATAAAACTATAAAGTTAGATATTTATAATCTGTAGTCATTCAGTATAATTTTAGAGGGTTATATTAGAGAACTGGTTGGACATTGTCATCTTACTTTTACTTACATGGGAAAAATCTTCAAGGAAAGATGGAATTTCAGGCAGTTATGAACAGAGATAAAGAATCTTGACCCATTTATTTGTTCAGTCATTTTAGTTATGTCAGATTCTTTGTGATCCCATTTTGGGGTTTTCTTTGCAAAGATACTGGAGCTATTTGCCATTTCCTTCTCCAGCTTATTTTACTAATGAGGAAACTGAGGCAAACAGGGTTCAGTGAATTGCCCTGGGTCACACAGCTAGAAAGTGTCTGGGGTTGAATTTGAACTCACGTCTTCCTGATTCCAGACTTGGCACTCTGTCTACCACATCACCTACCAGTGTTTGCCTAGTGGAGTTCAAAACTCCATTCGGAGCCTAGTAATGAGATATGGAAAAGTTTTAAAGAGCAAATATGATATGGTTAAATCCGACAAAGGAAAGTGATGTTAGAAGTAGGGAGATCAAAGAACAGAAAGTGGAAATAATATGGGTTTAGGATTTAGCCAGGATTTAGGATTGTGCCAGAGTTGTAGAAGGGCAGAAACAAATACGTGTAAGAATTAGAAGAGAAAATTTGATTTACAGTAGCATACATTTTCCCTGTTTTCATTTTTTTTAGATGAAATCACTTTAATATGAAATGATCACTTTAATACATAAGTACATGCTTTGACCATTAATCATTTTAGCATAAATTAAATGATAGCATCATTTTGTTTTTGTTATTTTTTGGGTCAGGAGCTGTGATTGTCTCCACTCCACAAGACATCGCACTGATGGATGCCCACAAAGGAGCTGAGATGTTTCGGAAAGTCAATGTTCCTGTAAGCATTTACAAAGAATTAATATTTCATCATTCCCAAAACTAAAATCTATCTAATTGGGGACCAAAACTAAAATCTATGTAGTTGGAGAAGTGTATGATTTTTTTTTTGAAGGACTTGAATACAATGAATAATACTTACTATGTGCCATAGACACTGTTTTATGTACTGAGGATACAAAGAAAGGCAAAAGACAGTCTGCCCTCAAGAAGCTCACCATCTAATGAAGGAAGATAACATGTAAAAGGAAGCTGAAAAGGGCAAGGGGAAGGGTACCCAGTATGGGCATATGATAAAGTACAGAGGTGTATGGCCAGATGGGAAATGGAGAGACAGCTGGCCTGGGTGCTCTTCCTAAATGGAGGATTTGGGAGGAACTCTCAGCTTTTATCTTCTACCCTCTCTGATCAGAGGGAAGGAGGGACTTCCAGGGGGTACCTGCTCCTGGATACTAATAACATCAAGGTAACTGACATTCTGATGAGGTGTGAGTTCTATGGTGGATGTGATATTTCAGGATGATGAGGTTTTTGGGGGCATGATGGTGTGTTGAGGACTTCATTTCAGTATTGAGATTTCCTTTGTTGAAAAATATTATACTGGTTTTAATTTACTACTGTGCAAGGAAGCAATATGGAGATGAAATTAGCAAGTACTGAGATCAGTGGATTAAAGCAGAATAGTTAATGATCAAGCAGGTGAGAAAAAAGGACTTCCTCTTTTGTCTTCCATGATATTGTCTTGACCCTTGATTAAATAGACAAAATGACTGTATTGAGGAATATTTGTAAAGTTAGTGCTCACTTTTATTCTTTGGCACATTCTAACAGGTCAAATATATTTTATGGTCGCCATCTTCTCCTCCCTCTATATTTATTACATTATGGTCTCTCCTATAGTAATTATAAACTAAACGCTTGTATTCTGCACATAGATTTATATTGTTTTTGAACTTTTATGTAGCTCTGTTCAAACTAAGGAATTGGGTATTACAGATGAGAAAACTGTGGTACAGAGTGGTTGGTTATTTCAATCAAATACATTCAGTATGAGTTTAGATTAGAACCTCAGACTAATTTAGCCTCTTAAACAGATATATTTACACATACATTTATATATATACACATGTATATATGTATATATGCCCCCAAATTGTCATAAATCTCAATATGGAAGATATAGATATCGATATTGATTATATATATGAATTCCTTCTATCAGTCTGCCCATGTTATCATAAATCTCAGTAAGGAAATGTTACATAATGCTTCCGTATTGAGATTTTTTACCAACTTGGGGCAGATTGATAGAAGCAGTTCTGGTTATTCATAGTGTAAAATTCACATCTGTATACATATCAGAAAGAAAATCAAAGATGCCATGCAGAGCCTGTCTAGTTAACCCTCTTCCAGTCTTTGTTGAAATTCTGGTAAGACTAGGCCCCTTCCCTGACACTAGCCACTTGTATTTCTATCTGAATTGAATGTGGGAGTTCTGGCCCTTTTATATCCATTCACCCTGTATAATCTGGTACTCCTTTTCAGAATCAAGTATCCCAGGACTAAAGTCTTTTTTTTTTTTTTTTGATCCCTCTATTCCTGATGAGACAGTTCAGGATCATTTTTGACCTTTTGCACCCTTCTCCCTATCTTCATTTTCATTTCTCATGGATTTTTGATTCTCTGATGCCTTCCCTCTCTTCCTTGCCCCTGTATTTGAAATAGTAATCCTGGCCTCCAGGGGGAACCATAACTTAAACATTTACTGAAAAATTTTATCTTTCTATACACCAATCAATCATTCAACAAGTACTCATTAAGTGCTTCCTATATGGCAGATACTTTGCTCCACTCCATAAATTAGAGTTAGATTAGGAATAATAGTTCATATTTATAGAGGGTTTTACATTTTGCAAGGTTCTTTACATACATTATTTCATTTGACCACCAATACCCCCTTTGAGTTTAGTGGTGCAAATATTGTCACCATTTGACCAATGAGGAAACTAAAGCACAGGTGACATTGTTACAGTGAAGGAGATAAAAAGGTAGAAGAGGAATTCTCACCCACGTTTTCTGACTCCAAATGTAGCATTATTTGCACTATAGCTTTTCCCTACCGGGTCCAGAGATAACCAGTGACCAACACTGCTTCCTGTGTACTTGCCTCATTTGAAGAGAAATGTGAGTTTGACAAGGAAACTGAACATGCTTTGGGCAAAGAAGGCTTCTAAAATTCAGCTTGTCTAGGATTCCATCTCTTGACAAGGCTCTGAATATTCCCTCTCAGAGAGTAGAGAGAATCAGGACCTCAGAATCATGGAAACAAAAAGTGTGGAAATACTCTCCCCAAAAAGTTGGAAGGTAAGAAAAGAAGTTGTCACGTTTTCTCATCACCAAAATCCCAGGTAACTCAAACTCGTTCTCTCTTAAGTTCAAAAGAAAAGAAAACTTCAAACCCTATAACTGGGGTGCTTGACAAGGACAATTTTTCCATGTTGGAGAGAGCATTTTTCTCCATTTTGGAAAACCCAGTAAGAAATGCATTGTCTCTAGTAGATGTTACAGGTTCTCTCCTTAGGCTAGATTCCCTCTAACTTTTTGCTTTTTTGCCTGGTCCTTGGATCAAATGGAAAGAATCCTATGGGTCCTTTGTAAGTCTCCCTCATAAACCAAAGGACAGGGTATAGGCTCTCCCTCAATATGTTGTATGACTTAGCAGTGTACAAGATGAAGCTAAGAGACTTCTAAAGATATTGAGCACAGATCCGTAATATAATTCATCTTTAGAGGAAGCAGCTTACCAGCCCTATAGTGCAAAAGTAGGAGCATTTTATATTTGATGGACACAGATAGGTACAATTTATAGCCTTTATGTAAAAATGTATATTTTTTGGCAAGTGTAGCTGTGGGGCAAATTGTAAAATCAGGAAAATACCTGCCTTTTCAGCCTAAGTGTTAAGTCTCATGACAGGGTTTGTGGTAGTGCTTGGCTGCTCTTACATCTGACTTAAGCTAATGTAGCCAATAGAAGACACCTGTGAGATGTATAAAAAAAATCCCCTTGTTTCTAGGTCTTTGAACTGCAGTTCAATACATCAAATATTTGTTCAGTTCCTGCTACTTGAAATCAATGTCAGTCAATCAAAAAAGTTTTATTAAGTGTGCAGTAAGAGCCAGGTGCCATGCTAGGTGCTGAGGATAAAATATCCTTACTCTTGAGGAAAAGGCACTGGAATAGTTTGGTAAAAGGCAAAGATGGCTAGCCAAACTCGTGCTCACTTAGCAGCCTTTTTTTTCATTCTGCTCATATAAAGTCAGAACTGATGGCCCTCAATGGGTTCATTGAACTATTAGATTCTCAGAACTTGGCCATTATCCTTCTGTGAATAAGATGTTTCAACATGTGAACTTTAATGGACACAGGTGTATCATCGAAATGGGGAAACTGATATCTTTGGGGATTTTAAAGTCCTTAAAGGGCAAAATATTTAGGGAACTGTACTATGCTCCATTTGATTTCTAGTAGACCTTTAAAATTATCTGTAGGGAGGGGCCTCAAATGTAAAATTGGTTTAATTTAAGATATAGGGTTTTGAAGGATTCTGTGGAGAAAAATATGGAAAAGGCAGGGATTGCTATAGAGTGGTTTGTTGCTATTCTTTTTGTGGGGGTCAAGAAGGACTGAGTTTGTAGCTTTATTAACTGTTGTATTCTGCTTTCTCCATCTTTTCTATCATCTCTGTCTCTGCAATTGATTTCCTTTAATTCTGGAAAGTCACCTTATACCAGGGTACAGTTGGGAGGGAATCAGGTATTTCAGCACCTTATATTATGAATACAATCCCCCTGATAGTTCTTTTTCCTGGCATCCCTGAGGGGGTGGATATGATTAACTGTACCCAAGAGCAATTCATTATCAGCTATTTGCAAAGTCACATAGGAAAAAGAAAGTGTAGGTAGGCTGGGAGAAGGATAGGATGTGAGGGAAAAAAGAGATGATAACTGCACAGACCATAAGGAATATTTTGGATTCAACCAATCCTCATTCCAGCTAAGGAGTGAGTGGGTTAGTGGAGAATTAAATGTTTCCTATGTGCAAAGTAGTCGGGATACAAAAGTTGAGATAATCCCTGTCCTTAAGAAGTTCACATTCTAATGGAGGCAACAACACATATAGGAGATTTCAGCTGCAAGTCAGATGGAAAGGTCCTGTCATCCTTAGAGTACTATGGGAAGGTAGATGGTAATGTCTCTTCTTTAGTGTCATTCCCATTGATAAAAACCCTGTCAATTTTTGATGTTGAAACATTTGACAATGCCAGAGAGTTTGGTGGCACGAACTTTTTAAAAATTTTTCTCCAGGCCTTCAGTTGCTGTGGTTACTGAGGAAGGAGACAGGTTAAGCCCCTTCCCTTTGGAGGAGAATATAGATGCCTGGTACCAGCCACCTCCCATATCTCTCTGTGGATATTATCCTACTTTAGTTAGGCTGGCTTGCCTGCCCTATAGGTAACAGTTGGTCAGCAGTTGGCACTTGAAGAATTCTTATTACCCAAGGAGGCTGACATGTTGTTGATGGCAGATTCCTTTGTGTTGAGTCATAGTAGAGAGGAATGCTTATTTGAGAATCTGGCCTGTAATCCATCCCGATTCCCTAATATCAAACTTATTATGAAATAAGTCCTCTGCATATATAAGAGATATGCTTTCCTATCAGATCATTATATATCTTCTCAGGTCCTTCTGTTGGCCTCAGCTTGCCTAAGGCTTTTCTATTTGTGCTAAGAAGTCATGAATCCTAATCCATAAACCTTGGAGCCAGTTCAATTCAATCAGTATTTACAGAGACCTGTTGTCTAATTTACAACACAGAAGAAAGTGTAACAAATAATTTTCAAGTACTAACAATGTTCTGAGTACTGTGGGAGAAACAAAGATGAATGAGACATACAATGAGACATGTACCCTTCAGCAGCTTATGATCCATTTGGGAAGAAT